ATTCAACCATTAAATAACTGATTTGGAAAAGAAAAAATGTTACCTTGTTTGGTACATAGTTATATCCCATATATAATTTTTCACCTTAAAAATAGAGTGTTGTGTTTTCATTGAGGGGGAGAATTTTGTGTTGTATCCCAAAGCTTTCTACTTTCCCATTTTTCTGTTTTGTTCACCATTCACTCTGCTTTGCATTTGCTCAGTACGTTTTCTGCATACATTCACACATCATTCAATCACCATTTGCTTTGCATTTGTTTACCGTTAATTCATTGTTCACTCACCATTCGTTTACCGTTAATAAAATAAATGTTTCAAGGACTATAGCTCCTTTTACTTTCATCCTTTTATAAGAGAGAGTCAAAGCATATAATAATTGTATTTCTTGAAGCTTTCCAAAAAGAAGATTAAAAATTTTCCCCGGATGGGTTACATACCAGATCTTTATAAAAGTTACAAGTAATGGACAATACAGCTGAACTTTTGTATTCCAAATCCGATGTATCAAATACAATGGATATGTAAAGTAAGGGGGAAATCCTCAAAAAATATTTTTTAAAAAATATTTTACCCTTAATATATAAAATTGCTCACTCATTTCTTATAACATGTTTTTAAGGAAAAATAGACGTTTTCTTTCTTTGCTTTTTTAGGTTTCCAGCCCACGACAGGAAATATCCCCCCCCCCCACTACCCCCGCCCGGGGGCATCCCCTTGGGGATGCCCCAGCTTTTCCACACCCGGCCCAGGTAAAAGAGACAGTAATTCCTATTATAAGGGAATTAGATTAATGAAATCCTGGAATAACAGTGTTTTCCCTAATGGGGGTAACAGCCAAATTGACAGCTTCGATTGATAAAAATGCCACCTAGAAATCAAAATTTGTTTTAAGTTTATCATAATTCTGTTCATCAGGGTTCAACACTAACGTTTTTGGCTTTTGGGCCCGGGCCCGACTAGTGCTTTCTTTTTCTAGTTGCGGGGAATTTTTTTATCCGTCAAAAATAAAAAAAATAAATAGAATTGATGTTGCAATGTACTTTTTCTACATTTTTGAAATAAACAAAGCATTTACATGAAATGTTTATACCAAGAATTTGTTGAAATCGCACAATCAGGAACTACGATCATATTCCCGGTCTCATTCGTTGTTCTCCATACATGATTACATCATTTAAACATCCGACATCTTTATTTATGCGTCATACTATATCATGATCACTAAAATGTTTAATTTCATATCAATGAGTCCTAATATTAAGCGCCGAATTAACTGAATTAGCTAACTGCCCGCCAAGAAGCTAGAAAGCTAAAAATAAATATTGCCATAATTGGTTTTTCCAGTGAAAGTTGTCGAAAAATTTGAACATCAGTAAATTCTTTTTTTCCCAAGAAAACTTTATTAGTCTGTTCGGACTAATTAGCTACAATTTTTATTAGTCCGAATGAAAATGTATTAGTATGAGACTAACGGACTAATGTTAATGTCGAACCCTGTTCATTAATATCAACCCTTAGCCTGTAACAATTGATCTTTAACCCTTTTCTTTAAAATAAAGGGAAAACACAGATATAAGAAACTGAATGTAAAACTCAGTTATTAGGAATTGAGATTTAATGAAATCCTGGATATACAATTGATCCATTTCTAAATTCTACTAGCCCTGTTCATGTATTAGTTGTCCAGCAGCCGATGGTTGGTGGCCGAAAATAAAGGGGTGAAATTTTACACAGATTTTGGGTAAAAATTATATGTCAACCTATGATTGTACCTTAGACATTGAAGTACACATATATAATCATTTAAGATATTTCGAATCACCTTTAAATTTTACAATTTTGACAGACAAAAATATTAATTATGATGATAAAACAAGTTTGAAAATAAGATACATTGTGTGTAATTGAAATTTGTATACTTGTTGCTCTGAGTGAGTATAGTAAAATTCTTAGTAGCAAGAAAGGCTGAATTTAAAACTCAGTTCAAACCCTGTAAGAAACTGAATTTAAAACTCAGTTATTAGGAATTGAGATTTAATGAAATCCTGGATATAAGAAACTGAATGTAAAACTCAGTTAGGAACTGAGATATAAAAGTCGGTTATATAAAAACTTATATGGAAGATAGAATATGTATCCCTGTATCCCGTTTATTTTGACTTGACCTTGAGGTGTCTATTTATAGGTAACCCCCAGGTCCAGTCCGTGTCACAGACTGGCTCCACCTCCAACTCTCCACTCGGCGACAAGCAGGAAAATGTCTGTATCAGTTAAATGAAATATGTACTTACGTTTATAGAATCTATCAAGTTTGTGTCAGTTTAATTAACTCTTTGTACATGAAGGAAATTTACCAATTGTGCTAATTTGTCAAATTTCATACTTGAAATATTAAAACTTGGTCATTTTGTAATGATTTTACTCCATAAAACATCATGATTTGAATTACATGTTGCTACATTGGTTACAGAAGGTTTGGACGGAACACAAGGCTCGGGTCCAGATGGTCGGACGTACTACTACAATCACATGACCAAACAGTCCAGCTGGGAGAAACCCGACGACCTAAAGACCAAGGCAGAGGTCAGGGGCACTTAGTGTTAGTCAAAAGTAAAAATGTTATAGTAGAAATGATTAACACATATTTTATGAAGATCGAGCATTGTCTCAATATCTGGAAATATTCCTGCCCTCAGTCTTTGCATATAGAATCATAGAGAAACATGCAGACACTTATTGAAACATACAGGCACATACAGTCTATGGGAAAGTCACCGGACTGTCGATTTTTTCCGGTAAAATTTAGGTTGGGTAGGTAAAAAATTTCATAATACAGGACCGAATGTCTGGTAAAATATAAAGCCAAATAAATCAAAATTAAGAGGTTCACATGGTCCAATTCCCCTCAAATATCCTTTATTTGACCCATTTAGCAGTAATACCTGATTAATTTTTATGTATTACAACCCTGTCATGATCGTTTTTTATTCTAATTCGAATTTCCTCTGTCAAGGGTTAGAGATCTTTATATAGCTCATACGTAGATTTGGTTGAGAAAATATTTAGATACCTCATACGTAGATTTGGTTGGAAACTTTTTTTTCAAATGATCATTGAACTTGAGTAACCATAATGAATTGTTTTAAGAAAAATAAAATATTGAAAGTGCATAATAAATTTAGAAAATATTTGATAGTGTATGTTGTACAAGTCAAAAATTAAGGGAAAAAATGCATGCAATTGTATAAATAGATACCTTTTACAAATGAAAATAATGAATAGTTAACCTGTCCATTTCACTCTGAATTTATTTATAAGGTTAAATTTCAAAGTTTCAAATTAACTCCATCCCACCCACCCTCTCAATCTCAGTATCATATTGATGTACGGATTTAAAGGAAAAAAGTCGGTCTGGTAAAAAATTTCTTGGTCTGGTAAAAATAAAATTTTTAGCAGACATTTTGTCCTGTAAAAATTTTTAACTTTCGCGTAGACTGCACATAGAGAGACTTATTTTGCAAGCATAGTCCACCTCATCTAACAAACATCATAGCCCACCTCATCTAACAAACACCATAGCCAACCTCATCTAACAAACACCATAGCCCACCTCATCTAACAAACACCATAGCCCACCTCATCTAACAAACACCATAGCCCACCTCATCCAACAAACACCATAGTCCACCTCATCTAACAAACACCATAGCCCACCTCATCTAACAAACACCATAGCCCACTTCATCTATCAAACACCATAGCCCACCTCATCTAACAAACACCATAGCCCACCTCATCTAACAAACACCATCTAATCAAACACCATAGCCCACTTCATCTAACAAACACCATAGCCCACCTCATCTAACAAACACCATAGCCCACTTCATCTAACAAACACCATAGCCCACCTCATCTAACAAACACCATAGCCACTTCACCTCATCATCTAACAAACACCATAGCCCACCTCATCTAACAAACACCATAGCCCACCTCATCTAACAAACACCATAGCCCACCTCATCTAACAAACACCATAGCCCACCTCATCTAACAAACACCTGGAGGACATATTTCCCAATATTCTGATTTAGCCAATAACTTTAAAGAATAAATCGAATGCTAAACAGCTTAAGTTTCTGAGTTCTATTACACGTGTTCTCATTACACATGTTTTCATTACAGCTGATGCTGTCTAACTGTCCCTGGAAGGAGTATAAGTCTGACTCTGGTAAAATTTACTTCAGATCTATAATTCACAAACCAAGGATTCCCGCTGGACCAAACCCAAAGGGCTTGAGGAACTAGAGGGTGAGTGAACCAAGAGTTCTCGGTAAGAACAGGAGAAGATACAGGGGGATATGGGAAGTTCTCTGAAATTATCAGTGGGTCCTCAGGGGAAGTTATATTAGTGGGTACTTCATTACTACTACAACTAAGAAAGAACCTTCTTTAATGAGAATATTTTTATTTTTTTCTAGAAATGGTTGCCAAGAAGACACAAGATTCAAGGTAAATATTCTACAGAATTCACACCTGTTTATGTCTCTGTACTAAATAATTAGGACACTTTACGGGTTTCACTAGGGAAGATTTCTGTTGATAGCCGTTCTCGTTCAGTGGGATGACTGTTGTGTGTTTTATTTCAGTGTCGTTGGTGGCGGAGATTCTGGAGGGGTGATCACAGCGCCCTCTACGTCAGTAGCAGTGCCCCCTGCTGGCAGCGGCATCACACTACCACAGCAGCCTGCCAAACCCTTACCAGCGGCCCAGGGCAGCATCACGTTACCACGGCAACCAGCTAAACCGTCGTCTGCTATCCAGGCTGCCTAAACTTTTCTCTTGAAGGCTAGGTGATGAAGAGGAGGAAAAACCCCAAAAGGAGGTTGTCCCCCTTGTCTTCAAAAATAAAAAGGAGGCAATGAAGGCATTCAAGAGTCTGCTCAAAGAAAAGGTCTGACTATTACAAGTATAAAACTTCTCAGATTAGTGATATAATGGAGGCCTTCAATAGTCTGCTCAAAGAAAAGGTCTGACACATTGAGTAGAAAATTACACAGATTATTGATAATGTCAGTAGAAATAGGCAATGAAAGCATTCAAGAGTTTACTCAAAGAAAAGGTCTGAAACATAGAAAGGTTTCAATAAAACTGGAGTGGACTGTATCAAAAATGTTAGCTAAATATGGAATTCACTACAGTTAAGTCTGTATAGAGGATGTATTTGGATTTTTATGCTTCTGCACATTCCCCCCCCCCCTTAAGTTTAATTTTATTTGAATATACCTATATATTATACAGGGTGTATCATCTAATGCCAGCTGGGAGCAGGCGCTGAAGTTGATTGTTAACGACCCTCGTTACGGCGCGCTCAGACAGCTTAACGAGAGGAAACAGGCCTTTAACGAGTACATGTACAAGACAAAGAGAGTGAAGGAGGAAAAGGTGAATAATAAAAACTATCAGAGGCTGCTATGTTATCAAATTCTAATCCACACATCATTGGAAGCCTGAACTCATTATAGCTACATTCCTATAGATGTGTTTTACAATAAATTCAAAAAAGATTTAGCTTTCCTAGTTAAAGATATCAGCAAGGAATCTTTTAAAAACTTTTTACTCAAAAACTATGGATTATTTTCTAGTAATTGTGTTGACATATATGTAGCATTCTACTTAATACAACAGATAGAATGGCGGTCAAAATTCTGGTTTTCTAGAGATTTAGTGTTTTATAGCTGTTTGGTGTTTTATAGCTGACCTGGTGTTTTTGTTGTAGGAGAAGCAAAGACTGCGAGCAAAACAGGCCAAAGAGGATATAGAACATTTCTGATTTCACGCCGAAAAAATGAACTCCAGTGTCAAGTATTGGTTGGTGTCAATAGAAAATCCTTCTAATCACCTGGT